ATAATCTGGAGACAGAAAATATCCAAAACAATTTAAATATTTAAAAAAATTTTATAATTTTATAAAAAAAAATAATGGGTTAATTATACATTTAAAGGAAAAATATTTAAGTTAGTCTGGAAAATGGTTTTTTGAAAATAAATATTTCCTCGAGTTTGCAATACAAAAATTCAGAAAAAATATTTATGTGTGAGCCCATATCTTTGATAAATAAAAGGCTTCTATTACAATATTTTTCTATTTGTTTTCTTTCCTTTTTTCCCGTTACTAACTGTTCTATTTTGTAAAATCAGAAAGCCTTGAATCAGATACAGTGATAAGTTTTGCATACTGAAACTTATTTTGGTCTTAACTTCATTTTGAGGTCTCTGTTGTAAAAGAAAGTTCATGTGACATAGAAAAGTAAAAACTATTAACTTTGATGCCTATGAGGAAAGTTGTCTTAATTTTTTCTTGCATATTTATTTTATTGTACTCTATGTTACGAGTCAGAATTTATCGAAGGTGTTCATTTCTTCCGTAAGCTCATAGTTAAGATTTTTTATGAACGTTATAATTATATACACAATTCATCACTTTTTCAAAATAACAATTTTTTTAACGTCATAAATAATCATGTAGGCAATACTTATAATTTTATTTCTAAAACAGCCAAATAAAAAAGTTTCATTTTAAAAAAAGTAATATTATTGCAGTTTTATTGTATTTATCTTTTATATCTTCCTTTACTAACCATTGGTATAAATAATATGATATATTTTTAAACTCATTAAAAAAGTCAATGCCTTAATTAGTTCCTAGTGCCCTATTTTGATTTATAGAGTTAAAAATTAATACCAATAATAAATATAGATTAATTTGATTATTTTTCATCTCTCAAAAGCAGAAGCATATCTTTTAATACTGGCTTAACAATCAAAAGTTTTGAAATCATAGTTTTAACAAGAAGTATTTGTTTAAGATGTATCTGTTCTCTAATTATATCTCTTTGTTAAGAGAGGAGTAGTATGGCTTGCATATAAAATTATCCCAAAATCCCTTTTATTTCATTTTAAGTTGGCAGTTTTTAATAGAAGCAATGTGTAATACATAAGCTTCTATGTGTAATACTATATTTTGCGTTATTGGATTTAAATTAATTCAACTAATAAATATGAATTAGTTATAATTTTTTACATTTTTGGAAAGGAAGATTATTTTTAAAAAAACATGATTTACTTTTTTCAATTTTTTATTTAAAATCTTGTAATAAATTAAAATCTTATTCTATTAAGTATATTTTATGTTATGAGATTAAAATTAATAAGAATAATATTGAACATTAAACTATAATTTTTTAGTGTTTATGGAGAGCTTTGACATTTTCGCCAACATGATTTACTTTTTCAAGTTTTTTTAATTAAAATCTTAATTAAACTTCTTACATAAAATTTATTTCTGTAAATATAGTATTTTTTATTATAGATGTAGCTCATAAAAGTTATCATGGCTTATAGTTTGAAGTTATTTAAATTACCGGTTATTAATCTAAAAACTTGTTTTTGCCACATCTTCAGATACACGTGAAAATTATTAGACTATTAATCAGGCAGGAGTATTCGGTATTAAGTAATTCGCATTTAGATATTAAGCCATAGTATCCTTGAGATTAGTTAATAAAATGCGTAAAGAGACTTTTCCCGATCACCTACTGATTCCGGCATCGATTTCATGAATTTCGAAAGGAAAATGTGATATTCTTGTGTCATAAAGCTGAATAAGAATCAATACTCGAAATTATTCACTTAGATCCAATCACAAGTAGTCTTTAATGTCTGATTTAAAATGTGTCGAAGAGCTCTATAATGGATTTTAATTACTTTAGCGTAATTATCATAATGCATATCAAGAAGTTAATTAGCACATATGAAAGTTTAAGGGATTGAAAGTTAATTAACACATATGTTGTGATATGAGCTAGAACTCTATGCACGGCTCGAAAAAGAGTTATGGGACACTTGAGTATCTAAGCTTTATAAATATTATAACTTTTTGTTTTTTCAGACACAGATGAAACATCTAAGCAAAATTTATCAGACATTCAAAAATAAAATTATAAATAAAATTTTTAATATCAATAAAACCAGTCAAAACTACAAGGAAGTTTCACCCCCTATTTTCCATGCCCATGATATTTCCGGGCTTGAGTGTTCAAGAGTGACGTGCCAAAAAGGATTTAAACAGTATATGTCTTATGTCCGTGATTATTTATCAATCTATACACCGGATGGTAGTAGCAGATCATTTGTAATGTGCTTAGACATAGCATATTTTTAGCCAGATGTCAGCCATATTTCATTTCAAGTTAAGGAGTCATAGTACCTTTGCAACAATTTTTTTAAATAAAGGTATAATCATTCATTTTATGAGTGCCTTACATGCTCATTTAACTTATAATCAATAATCTTCAAAAAATAACTAGGCTGTTTAATTTTTTTTAAATTTAAAAAAAAAATTTAAAAATTCAAAATTTTTAAATTCCTGAGGCTTTTCTAATTTTACATATTTTTAAAAAAAAATTCTTAGAGCTTACAATATTCATCTTAATAATTTTGTGAATTCTTCTGTTGAAATATCAATTGGCATATTTTTTATAGATTATTTTGTAAAAAAGTAGAAAAAAAGGTAAAAAAATTCCTGTTAGGTATACATAACATGCTGTAAAAATTGTAATATCTCATAAACTCCTAATTCCATGCACAATTTAAATAAGTGTATTATGCTTAAGATAAAAAAGTTTACATCAATGCTTTATCTCAAATAGAAAAAATATCATTAGAGATTTAATAAAGATTATAACACAAAAATATCATCTATGAGAAAAAGTACTTTAAAGTCTGTCTGAGTAAGTTTCTGCCTTAAGGCAATCTAAAATCATTCTTAACTTTTTTAAAAATGCAGATAGAGAGATGATTTTTTTTCAGCGCATTTGAAATAATTTGAACTTTTATTATAAGCAATAAAAAATTTTTTCGATGATTTGGTCATTTTTTGGGTACTGTCACCCCTTAAAAACTAACACAAAAATCAAAATGAGAGCATACATTGTACATACACTTAGTTTTATGCTTACAATTTTCTTGAATAAAACCCATAGACATTTCAGCAACCCGTCTTCTTCAAAATGAAAATGCGATCATGTATTTTGCTAAATTACAGAATAGGAGAGAGTAATAGAAATTATGAATCAAAATATTTTAATTAAGAAAATAACAAAAATCTTATTTAAGAGTTCAAAAGTTTTTTTTTATCATATAATTATCGCAGGGTATTAGCTGTAGAGAAATAAACCATTATTTAAGGTTCAGAAATAAATGGATATAAATTGAGCGAAAAAGAGGTGTACTAAAGATTGTAAATTGAATCAAAATAAGCTTAGACAAATGCGAGACTAAATAAGGGTTATTGTTAAGTGTAAAGCCTTATCAATATAATTTTACATATTTTAAATTAATTTAGCAAAAAATGTCAAAACTCTTTTGTCTAAAATTATTTTTATTTTATATAATGAAGCTTAAGTTTTTCATAATAAAATTTTACTAAAATATATAATCTTAAGTAAGGACAAATGATAACAGTTGCTTGAATTTCACAGGTAATTCAACACGTAAATAAAACGTATCTCTCGGAAGTTGTTCTAGTACCTTATTCTATTTCTAGAACTACTATTCAGTAAGGCTGAAAAAACGATCCGGGAAGGTTAATAGAAAAACACCCGCTCTTTGATATATCATTGAATAAAATAGAAAAGGATCGTGAGTTGGACGCAAAATGTTTTTCATCTTATTCTAAGAAAATTACTTTTCAGGGAATATTATAGAAGAAACATTCAACTCAAGAGTTTTACATAAAAATATTCTTCAGATATAGGCTATGCAATGTTTCTCTTTTTTTATTAGAATATATATTTATCTAAAAATGAATAGAAAGGGACGTTTATATTTAAACGGTGCTCTATTTTTTTCAATTTTTTAAGTTTGGAACATCAGCTTTACATTTTATTGTTTGAATGGTAGTTTTTTGAAGTTTTTTTTCTTCTAAAGATCATAAGTTAAAAAAGTGACAGTTTGATTGCTTTAAATTTAAAACAAAGCTTACTGTTTGCACTATATAGGCTACCTTGTTAAAAAAAATTAGAATTTAAGTGGACATATATTAAAATATTTCAAAAAATCTTTACAGTTCATTAAAAAAAAATTTCGCAATTGACGAATTTTTCCCTTTAAATAAAATCTATTATCAGTGAATAACACTAAATTTTTTAATTTGGTTGCGTGGTCAAAAATTCTTGAAAACAGCTTCAAATATTAAAATATTTGATCTCATACTTCAGTAACTTTAATTAAATTACACAAATAATTTAATTTTAATTAAACTATGATTTTCCTTTTTCTATCAATTTTCAATCAAACTAAAAAGTATTACCTACAAATGGAAGAAGAAAAAAAAACCCAATTTTAAAGAATAACGAGTACAAGAATCTTACGAATTCTTCTTCTTCAGGAGCGCAACAGCCCTTTGCAGGTCCTGGCTGCCTCAACAGCACGCCTTCTCCAGCTCCCTCTGTCCATGGCAACTCCCCTCCAGTTCTTAAGTTTTAGGACTTTGAGGTCGTTTTCGGTGTCGTTGAGCCATCGAGTAGGTGGTCTACCTCTAGAGCGGGACCCCTGAGGGTTCTTGAAGGTGGCAATTTTTACAGGGCTATCTTCAGAGCCTCTCCATATATGGCCGAGCCATCTTAGTCGGTTGCTTCGGATTATCTGCATAATTTGAGGATGTTTATAGAGCCCATAAAGTTCAAAGTTGTACCGTGTTCGCCAACATCCCCCCTCTGGTATGGCACCAAAGATAGTTCTAAGTATCTTTCTTTCAAACGTTTCTATCGGGCGTTGGACGTCAAGGTTTAAAGTCCAGGTTTCGTTTCCGTATAGCAAGACAGGCAGAATGAGTGTCTTAGATAATTACAGTTTTGTTTTTCGGCTAATAAAATTCGATCTTAGTTGACTTTTTAGTCCAAAAAAACATTTGTTGGCCATATTGATTCTATTGTCAATTTCAGATTTCAGTTTGTTTTGGTCATTGATAATTGTACCAAGATACTTAAATTCTTTAACCTTTTCAAAGGAATGTCCGTTTATCTGCAAAGGTTCAGTATAGTTTACAGTTGAGCTTGAAAACTCCATGAATTTGGTCTTGTCTTCGTTAATGGAAAGGCCCATATTTATAGCAGAGGCCTCAAGGGCTTGAAAGGCATCTTTAACAGCCCGTTCTGATCTTCCTATGATACCAATGTCGTCCGCATAAGCGAGGATTTGGAGAGATCTGTTCCAAATAGATCCTCCTCTGTTTAATCCGCTATTCCGAATGCATTTCTCCAATGCCAGGTTAAAAAGCAGACAAGCAAGAGAGTCTCCCTGACGCAGGCCTCTTTCGGTAATGAAAGGTTCAGATAGATGGCTTTGGATTTTAATCCTGCATCTCACATTGTTGATAGTGGCACGGGTGAGACTTACGAGTTTTGTAGGGATTCCGAACTCGTTCATCGCTTCAAGTAATTTATCTCTTTTAATACTGTCGTAGGCAGCTTTGAAGTCTATAAATAGGTGATAAGTCCTGATGTTGAACTCTTTAGTTTTTTCAAGGATCTGTCTTAGAGTATGAATTTGGTCAATGGCAGACCTTTGAGGCCTGAATCCACATTGGTAATTTCCGACCGCTTTATCAGCAAAAGGCTGGAGCCTTTTGAGAAGAATATTGGAGAAGATTTTGTATGCCGTATTGAGGAGTGTTATACCTCTGTAGTCACGAAATTCAAGTTGGTCTCCTTTTTTAAAAATAGGGCAGATGGAACCTTCTTCCCATTCAATGTGTATATTCTCAGTGTCCCAGATTTCAATTAGGAGTTTATGGATAGCATCAATAAACTGGGGTTCGCCGGTTTTAAAAAGCTCAGATGGGATACAATCGGGACCAGCCGATCTGTTGTTTCTGAGTTTTTTAATAGCCATTATCACTTCATCGATTGAAGGTGGGGGGTTATCTGCATCCCTCAGCATGGCTAGATCTACTGGGTTGTTGCGAGAAACAGAAATATCATCCTTGCCTACTAGCAAGTCTTGGAAGTAACTCTTCCAAACTTTGGTTACCTCTTGAGGCTCACTTACGAGTTCACCTTCGTTGTTTCTGCAGGTAATAGTTCTTGGTTTAAACTCACTTCGCATATAATTGACTTTTTTGTAAAACTTACATTCATTTTGGTTATTCATGGTTTCCAGATCTTCCAGTGATTTCTCAAAGAAGGCTTTCTTTTTTGCTTTATGTAGTTTCTTTTCTATTCTTCTCAGGTTCTTATATTGTTCTTCAAAGAAACGTGTGCGATGTTTTTGTAACATTAGTCTATATGCCTTATTTTTTTCCTGAGTTGCCTTATGGCAGTCTTCATCGAACCATTCGTTTTTGGAAGGACGCCCCAGTTCTGGAATGGTATCACTTGCAGATTTCAAGACAATGTCTTTTATTGTATTCCAGTTAAAAACAATGTTCGGTTTTCCTTTTTCTTCAGAAAGTCGGTTGGATAGCTTGATGTTATACTCTTTAAGAATTTCGTCTTTTTTCAGTTTAGAAATGTCAAATTTAAAGTCCTTGTTTTCCTTCTTTTGATAAAAACTTTTACAGAGTCGAAGTCTCACTTTGGACACGACGAGTACATGGTCTGTATCTACATTTGCACCCCTGCAGCTTCTGACATCAAGTACATTGCTGCGGTGTCTCTTGTCCACAAGTAGATGGTCAATTTGATTATGTGTAGATCCATCTGGGGATCGCCAGGTGTGCTTGTGGACTTCTTTATGTGGGAATGCTGTGCTAGAAATAAACAAATTCTCTGAGACTGCAAGATCAAAGAGTCTCTGTCCATTTTCACTGGTGTAGTAGTGCAGGCTTTCAGCACCCGCGTGGTATCTAAGGTGTTGCTCTTTTCCAATTTTGCGTTGAAGTTTCCGATAACGATCTTCATGTCTTGTGCTGGGCACGAGTTAATGCTTCTCATCAACAGGTCATAGAAGATATCTTTTTCAGAAGCATCTTTTTCTTCAGTTGGTGCATGGGCACAGATTAAGGTGGTATTGTAATGTTTTCCTTTTAGCCTGATTTTACAGAGTCTCATGCTAATAGCCTGGAAGTCGATGACAGTATTTCTCAGTCTTTTGCTCACGACAAAACCTACGCCGAATTGGTGAATTCTGTCCTGGCAACTGTAGTATATTCTGCAGTCCTTTTTATCCATAATTCCATTGCCCAATTATCTGATTTCTTGGATTGCGAGGATGTCAAGTCTGTAGTCAACAAATACATCTATCAGGCTCTTTAATGCTCCAGCTTTATACAAGGTGCGAATGTTCCATGTTCCAAATCTCAAGTCCTTTTTCGTTCCGGGTCGTCTGGGTGGATGTGAGCCGGGCTTTGCATTTTGTTGAGGTTTCTTAACTTGAGTTTTTTTTCCGGGGTGGGGTAGTTAGCCCCACGCCCAACCCCCAACCTGGAGGACTGGGGTGTTCCTCTCGGTCTGGTGTCTCCCCTCCGACCTGTCCGGCTTGGGTGACCCTGCCAGTAGCTAAGCTACCGCCGGCATAGCTCTCGGGATCGACAACGCACACAAACCACACCACCACGATAAGGTGGGAACACCATCGGTGCAGTCTTACGAACTGACAATAGTGATAAAAATAGCATATTGAATAGCTTAGCATAAGCGTTACTTAAATAAAAGTAAAAAGTGGCATAAATGAGTCTCCGAAGTACAAACAGCCTTTAAAAATATAAGAATAATCTGGTATATTGTCAAGATTTACATATGACTATTAGATTTACATATGAGTCGCTGTGGCTCATAGGGATAGAGAGTTCGCTTTCCAATGAGGTGAACCAGGTTCGAATCCCAGCGATGGATGGTCGAAACGAATCGATACAGTGCCAACAGAAAATATCCTCTAGGGTAGACGAATCATGGGTTACAGTCATCTTGCCGCATGGCTGACCGTGGGAGGTTTCCGCTGTTTTCCTCTCCGTGTAACGCAAATGCAGGTAATTTCCATGAAAAAGTCCTCCATTAAATCAAATTTCTCCCAGTACTTGATCCAGGTAGGTCGAAGTTACAAGGCGACGGATTTGAACATTAGTAGTCGTAAACTAAAAATTGGGTGGGCTGTTCAACTACAGTTATAAAATAAAATAAAACATGACTATAACAAAGTCTCATCGCATTACTATTATTATTTTTTTTTGAATCAATAATTTTATATCCCGCTAATTTTATATCTAGCACTATTCAGCTAAAACATTTGCTCGCATTTTTCGCATTTATATTATTTTTCAAAAATACATTTTAAAACTATTACACACACACATATTTGGCCTCACTTACAATCTCAAAAAAATTTAATTTGAATTGTAATTTAAACGAGTTAATTAATGTACAATAATGTATTCTTCAGGCATTTCATGTATTAAACAATTCTTGCAGGCATGTAAAATACTTGGAATTAAGCATCTAGTATCAGCATTAAAATGAGACAATTAGGAAATTTTCTATAAGAAACAAAATTTAGACATGGAAACAAATTAAAATTATATTTATATGTATTTAAATCTGTTTACCTGATTTACAGTTAAATTAAAATAATAATGATAATTGATTATGCGTCACTCGTCAGTTTTAAACCGGCAAATCTCCTGAATGAATGATTCGTACTCTAATATAATCTAAATAATTTATTCAAAAGGCTGTTTATTTGCAAGTTCACGATGTACAGAAGCGGGTAATATATGGAGAGATGCACACTCATCCTATGGCTGGTACAACTAAGATGGAAAACTTCCCCCAGCATTAACAAGGAAATAGCCCTTGATATTACTCATAAATTTCTAAATCATAGCTTTTGAGGTACGGAATTCGAATAAGTTAGTTATTTAACGGTAACATGAATGGTTACAAGGCCTTTAAAGAAATTATAATGTGTAGAGTTAGTCTAAATAATATATTCAGTTTCTTTTTTTTTTATTATACGACGTAATTATACGATTTAAGAAAATGAGTAATGTACACATTTACCCAATGCCTGGTGCATATTACAAATAATCAATGTGTGCACCCTTAATCATCCGACAATGCCAACTACTGACGGGCAAAGTTTATGTACCTCCCATTCTAATAACATTGAAGATTCGCATTACTGCTCCAGTGCTCCATAGATTGAAACATGGTGAAATTGAGTGAATAGCTGCAATTGGATTGCCATTGATATGTGTGTCAGGTGATCAAGAGCGCATGCATTGAATATTTATAATATGTACCAGGCATCGGGGAAATTTATGCTTGCAAATAAATATCCCTTTGAAACTGAATGTATCATTTTGGCTAAACCTGTATTGTGTAATTTCTTTAAAGGCAAATGCCTAGTAACCATTCATGTGGCAGAGACATAAATTATTTAAATTCCTTATCTTAAAACTTAAGACTGAAAAAAAAATTGATTAACATCAAGATATTATGTTAAACCTGGAGCTATATCCTTGTTAATGCTGTATAAATATTTCTACTTTATATGCAATAGACTTTGCCAATTTTTGAATAAAAAAGTTCCAAAAAAGGGAAATTTGCAACATTGCGTGGATAACGATTCTATAGGACAATCTGACCCACTTAGAAACAGAAAATAATATTGTTATTGTTTATTTTAAAAATATGAATACAGTTTTTAAATAGTTATTTTTAAATAGTTATTTTTAAATAGTTATTTTTAAATAGTTATTTTGAAACTCTTAATAGAGTCTTGAAGAGTAGAATCTTTTATTCCAAAATCTGATACATTTATTTTTATTCTCCTAAAAGTTCTTCAAAAATTTTTTAAAAAAACGCATGGTATTTAATGAGTATCACGGTCAAATTCAGTTTAACGAGATTCATCTAGCTTTTCGCTGTATTAACGGGAAACACTCCTGCTTAAAAAGAAAAATAATTGTGATTATTTGCATTTTTGTAATTTTTCACATTTTAAATTGGGGAATTCTCCACGACTTAAATGAGAGCATATTTATTTCGTCGTCAGAATACACGTATAAGATAAAAGATAAATTACTTAAGGTCTCTGTTCTTTTCCTCTGTTTTTAAAAATACCACTTAGATGACTGAACAAGCGAGTTAATCAATCAATTTAATTAGGGAAGTGTAAAAAAAGGGGGCATTGCTTTTTGCTAATGCAGTCGTTAATAAAGAAGAAATGAAATACGTTGCAAAAAGTATTATTTGGTAACTATTTTTTTAAGTATCTGAACTTTCTGCTGGAATAAATTTGAATTTATTTATGTTTTAAATGCATACAATAATAATGTTTAAAGTTAATGTCAATGAGAAAATCATGTTTCATTATTTTCAACTTTTATTACTTTCTGTACTGAATTAGGACAATTTCTTTAAATAGGACAATTTCCTTAAAAAATGGCTTTTTTTGAAAAAGTTTTGAACAAATTAATTTTGAATTTGAAATTAAATGAAAAGGAATTTACGTTGCCAAAAGTTATTAAATGCAAACAGAAATAATTTTTAAAATAAATGTCACTGAGAAGAACATACATCAGATCTTTATTATTTTCTGTACCGTTTACTGATTTATGACTTTTTTGTGTACAAGAATGATTAAATGCACACTGAAGTAATTTTGAAAGTGAAGGGTCAAAGAGAAGATCATGTTTCAAACTTTTATTATTTTCTGTACCATTTACGGAATTGGGACAACTTTTTATACCTTCTCTTAATCACATTTTTGAATTAAATTTAATATTATTTCTTACTCAAAATAACTTTTGCACAAAATGTAATTAAACAAGAATAATATTAAGTATACAATAATAATTAACTGTATGAAAAATTTTCAAAGTAAATGTCAATGAGAAGATCGAGCTTTAGATTTTTATTATTTTCTGTACATCTTACTGGTTTGTGACTTTTTTTCTCTATATACCCACTTCGTCATATTTTTCCACAATATGTAATGTTGTTTCTGAAAAATGTTTTAAAAATTTAGAACAAATTGAATTTAAAATCAAGCAAAAGTAATTTTATGTAGTCTGGATTGATTAAATAAATACAGAAAAAATTTTCGAAGTAAATATCAATAAGAAGATGCTTGAGATTTTTATTATTTTCCGTAACGTTCACTGATTTATGACTTTTTTCATAATACATTCACTTAGAGTCCTATTTAACTACAATATTAAATGTGTTTTTCTATATAAGTTTTGAACGAAATGAAATTAAGCAAGAGTAATTTTATGCATACAAGAGTAATTAAATGTATGCAGGAACACTCTTTAATGTAAATGCCAATATAAGAAGGTCCTGTTTTAAACTTTTACAATTTTCTGTACCGTTTACAAAACTATGACTTTTTCTTTATACATTCAGCTAGTCATATTTTTTTACAATACTAAATGTTTTTCTCAAATTAATTTTGCATAAAATGTAACTTCATGAGATGATGTTTTGCGTGGAAAATGAATTCTAACGTTTATGTAATGAAAAAAATAACTGCACAGAAAATATCATTGATAAGTAAACAAATTATCTTCACATTATGCAAATTTTCAATATCTCAAAAATAAAGAATACACAGAAAAGAAACGTTTTGTGCAATTCCTTATACAAGATAACTTTATACGGAAAATATTCATGAAATTTCAGGGAAAATATTCTCGCATTATAATTTTTACTCAAATTAGGCTATCTGTGTTAGCTTATTGGTTGCATTAATCAGAATTTCTCATGAATAATTAATCAGTCCAGTGACATGATAATTAGCAGCTATTAAACGTAATTTATTTCCCTATGGAAGCTATTTATATAAAATACAATTGTAATTTTCTTAACGTTCATTAGTTTTAACAGGTGTAAAGTTCTAAACAATTGGAGTTTATTGATTTCTGGTATACAAAATATGCTCAACTGCTAATTTTCGTCAATTATCTGATATTTTAGTAAAATTATTTCGAAATAAATTTAAATTATGATTTTCTGATTTGATTTAAAGAGATACATATTGCGTGCCATGACTCAGTTTTTAGTAAAGTAAAATTCTTGTCTAACCTGCAATATTTTGTATGTACTATTTAATTTTAAAAAATACTCTTACAAATTCTATTTAAAATCATATTTTTAAGGGTTGTTTAATTTTAATAAATTATAAGGAAGTTTAATAATTTATACTTTTAATAAAAATGTGAAAAATTCTTTTGAATAGAAATAAGATAATAAAATTTTATCAGTAAAACAAATGCTTGTTTTTCGAATAATTACACAG